TATGTATATGAATTCTAAGCAAATCCCCTTTCAAACTGAAAAAAATTTTCGCCTGCGGCGCAATAACAGTATATAATCTGTGACATAGTTTATATAGAACGGGATCTGAGAAATGAGAAATATTTGTTTTTTGATCAGGGTAACCATCTCCAAATCACTAAAATAGGGCGCTGTAGCTTGATCATGAAGCTAAATATAAATATCTAGCTTGAGAGAAAACAATCCAATTTTTAAATTACTAAATAAAACTGCAAAATTTCAATAGCTTTAAATTAATAGAAATTTTTTAAAAAAATTAAAAAAAAGAACATATTTTTATTTTCAAAAATCATTAATATTTAATCAGTTTTATTCAAAAAATGTTCAAAAAAGTTTGACAATTTATAGCAAGTTCCACCCATTGGATAATGCTTAAATTGATGAGAAAGCATTAACCTAAGTGCATATTCATTTTCAATACTACGACAAATTAGTCGGCTACATTCAGCCAATCTTTGAGCCCCTTCAATTAAGCCTAATCTTCGTTGATTATATCGAAGTAAAATTTGTGTGTATTTATTGGATTCGTCTAAAAGTAATTCTTTTCCTTCAGCAGACAAGTCTTTAGCATCTTTTTATGAAAAAATTTAGGGCAACTTAAATTAATTTAAAAAAAGCTCAAGTACAGAGTAAAAACCGGGTTATCCGCAATCACGCACCGAAAATTGAGGAAATTCGGCTTATTAAGCTTCCAAATTTTCCAAAATTTTCGCCAGGTGCGCTAAATCTGTGTTTACATCTTAAAGGGAATTTAGCAGGAATATCTAGGGATCACAAGTTCTTTTTTTTCTAGGGATCACGAGTTTGAAGCCAAACCAAAAATAAGAATAGGAACCGAATCACTGGCACCGCTTATGACCTTTACAAATCAGGGATTTTCGGATCCGCTCAATCATGATACGGTCTACAGTTTACGCATACAGTTGGTGGTCCATGGCATAGAGTTCCGGCATAGGGGACCTCCCTTAATCCATCCAAATTCTTTGATATACTCCGCCCGGCAGAGGTAATTATATGAGAGAGGGTAATTATTTCAGCATACATATACGGTATTCGCCTTCACAAATTAAAGTTTTTACTTGATTTTGTAAGAATAATAGCTATTAACAAAGCAAATTCAACTTTTTTTAATGCAGCACGTTTAAAGTAAGCAACAGATTTTGTAAATGAGTAATCTGTCCATTTAATCATTCTAAAAATTAAAAAAATATTTTTCATATCTTCTCAATCAAAAATTTTTTTGAAATTTTTTTTTTATAATTTTATTGATAAAAATTTATTTACTTATAATCCTGAAATAATACACTATTCTTCATAAGACCGAGAGCAGGCATAACACCATCTTTACGTGTCCATGTTTCAGAACCTAATTCCCAAGCTAAATAGGAGCTTGTAAATGATGTAAATACATAGGAAGCCTGTCTTAGATGTGCAACCTATTTTATAAAAAATAAAAAAATAGTTTTTGAATTGATTAAGCTTTCTATTCTGCTTCATAAATATAGTAGTATTTGTAAATAAGAAAGCCACTTAATGAAAACAATTTTCAAACTGTTTCTTGGCGGGTTCGGGTCGCGGATTTTATTCGATATGTAGTTAAAGACGGAATCCATTAAAATATATCTTAAAAGTTGATGGGATTAACTCAGAACTCTCTGAAGCAATCTACTAGATTCGTACTCGTTGACTTGTAACAGTACCTGATCAGATAAAGTCAATTTTTCAAAAACAGGTAAAGATTTAGCTATACTAAAACACAAAAGTCTGTCAACTAAACAGCATTTTTGAACTCTACTATTAAATATTCCCTCAGTTTGAAATGAAGATTCCCAAGTATTTAATTCATCAAAAGGTATTGGACTTGGATTTGGCTTTAAAACAAAATTAATTTTCATTGAAAATTTAATTAAAATTTACCGAGAAGATATCAACTAAACGAAAAATATTAAAATTAGATAAAATTATTTCTTCAAACAAAATCGGGCCTTTAAGGAATATATCATCCAAATCATTAAATGCATGCATAATACGTTTTTTGGCTTCAATAATTGGTAAAATTGAGTTTATTTGCTGTTGGTCTCTGATGGATATGTCGACAGTTAGGGAATTTTGTATCTTAAAAATAGAGAGAATTACATATGTAATTCCTGTCTTGCTTGTATAAGTATAAGCGCCCTAGTCTTTGTTACTTTGGGTATTCAACAGAGTACCTACATAAGCCTCATCAAAAATTAAAAGAATTTTTATCAAGAAAAATGCCATTTTACATTAACCTTCCTAATTCCCAATCAAAAAATAATTTACGTTAATTTCATTTCTTTGTTTTTCCATCGCTTCCCGGCGTATATCTTGCCGTACATATCCAACATCTGAAATTCTTTTCAAATTATTTTTAAATATTTTGACAAACCCAATCTTTTCATTCCAACAGAAAAACATTTTTCAAGTCTACATTTTTTGCAATCTGCCAAATTTATTTCGGATTTTTCTTTATTTGAAAATTGTTCTTGCAAACATTTATAAGTACAGTCATTATATTTTAATTTATTTTCGTTTTCAAGATAACGCCTTTTGAGAAAAAATTTTTTGAAATTAAACAAAATAAAAAATACCTGAAAAAAGCCCCACAAGCCCTACATGTACGGACACCGTAATGGAAACAAACTTTATCTTTTGTTCCACATACTTTGCATTGTTTAATGGAATTTCTTTGCATTTTTAAAATAAATGGATATTTTTTCTAAATAAAATATAAATAACCGAAGAGGATTGTGACAATGCTTAATTATAATGACAAAAACGAAATAGGGGAATTTTAAAAAATTTTTAGAGGTTTGGCGTCATAACGGTAAAGTCCCAAAAACTGTTTTCCTATGGCGATATGTACCCCCCAACTCTGCTTTCTAGAACCGGTATTGTGATAATTTCAGAAAGAATTTCATTACATAAATTTAAGTTTTAAAATGTAAAGCTTTGCAAGGCTATCTAGTAAATTTGGTTTCCATTTTGTATTGTATCGTTATCAAGTATATGTATTTCTGAAGAAAAAGGGAGAAAATAAAATTCGGGGATGTTAACGCTTAGAACCAAAAAATTTAAATAATTATGAGATAAATAAATGAGAATAATTTTATTTTAATAGAAAATATTTAATTTTAATTTTTCTAAAAAATTAGCAGCTAAACAAATAAATTTTCTAAAAAGATATTCGAAAATTAAATAAAAAACTTTGATTTTTAAGCCATGGTTAAATTTTTTGAGCCACCAGCTTCAATATAAAAAAATTTGAGCCACGAAAATAATTTTCGTGGCTCAGAAATTATTTAATTTTAATTTTTTTTAAATTATCAGCTAAACAAATATATTTTCTAACAAAGTATAATGAGATATTTTAATGGCAAATTTTATTATCTTTATTGACAAGTTTTATAATCTAAAAACAATGTATATTATGGATGTGCCGAAGGTAATTTCAAAAGACGAACGGCACGAGGCGAAAGAAAAATGCGAAATTCAATAAATGATGGAAGGCAAAACCTGCCCAAATCTCTCGATATACTCAATTCCTAAAAATCCTTAATCTCCCTTGTGTCATTCATTCATCTTGATCCAACCTAATCCATATTAATATCCCGGCCCCAACCATATTTGAGTTTCAGATTAATTTTTCTTTTTTATGTAGTAATTTATTTTTCTCAAACATATTTCACCCAAATCTTAATTTCTCCAAATCCATCGACATCCCTCAAAATCCACCAAAATCCTCCTTAATTTACCGATATCCATTTAATCCTGCCAATTTTTATACCAATAGATTGTGTTTTACTTACTACAAGTAAAAATCAGAATTTTATCTTAACTTCCTAATAATTATAAAATTTAAAAGATGCTTGATTGAAATAATCAGTTGCCTATCTTCCTCATTTTGTTTTTTAAAATAAGTCAGGGCTCATTCCTGGTGTACAACTCATTTTAGTTTCAGCATAGGTTCGTCTGTATAAATAAAAATTTCAAGATCTCCATTAATTTAAGAAACTCAACTAAATCCCAAAAATTTTTTGGTATTTTAAAATAATCTTTTAAAAATTGATTAAAAAGCTTTTCCTCTTATCAATAACGTTAATTTTAATAATATGAAATATTAAATATATTTTTATAAATATAAAATACAAAAATATAAAATATTTTTTATTATTTTTTATTGCTTCTAAATTAAATGATAAATTTATTAAATAAATCTTTTATTGTTTAAAAATAAATATTTCATAATTAAAATGATTCTATATTAAATTTTGGGGTTTAATTATGAGGGCGGTTTTTCTTTTTGTAATTCTTAACCCTTATCATTTACTAAGTATCAAATTTATTTAAGGGATTTAACAGTGATTTTTAGGGTTGTACCCCATCCCCGAAAGTCGAGGAATTTGAGAGAAAAAAACCCCCCGAAAATTTTTCCCGTGCCCCCCCCCCCCGTCAGGGAACAACCATAGTGATTGTATTATACAAAACCATTAATATTCTTGTACACACCGTCATCACAAAGAATTGCCTTAGAAAAAAATTTAAAAAAATTGAATTAAAAATATCGGAAAAGCTATCTGAGATTCTTTCCATTTGTCAATCAAAAAAATCCAAAGCCAGAAAATATGTTCCAAAATTCTTTCCTATCTTTATTTGTTTGAAGAATAAAGAACAAAAGTAATTAAAGCTAAGAATTTTGCCATTTTTTATTTTCTTACATAAAAACAATTTATGACGAGTTTTTTTGATTATTTATAAATAAAAATGAGAAGTTTTTTTGTTTAAATTTTATCAGATAAGAAAATAAAAGTGTTCGGTTAAACATTCAATATTTAAAATATAAAATTTTAATTATTAATTAATTAATTAAGAAACAAAAATCTCAAAAATTATTTTTTCTTTAAATTTTCTCTTCAAAAAAATTTTTTTTCGCCTAAAATAAAATGCCTTTTATGGGATTAAAAGGATCAAAAGGAATTTACAAAGTTCAACCAATTAATAAAGAAATTTCTGTAAATAATAATGGCGTTAATAAAATAATAATTGAAGAAGAACGGAAAACAGAATGGGGATTAATTTATTTGTGTGCTTTATTTACATTTACTGCTTCTGTTCAATTTACTTTGTTTTTTACTTCTTTATGGCCTTTTATGCAAATTGTATTTATTTTTAAATTTTTTTTTGATAATAAATTTATGGAAGGGAATGTAACCTGTATACATTTCATGCCTTGAAGGAGAAAGTAAATCTTGCATAGTTTAGTCAATAAGGGTTTATGGATGTCTGGTCTTAAGTAAAGTCCTACAAAACATGATTGTTATTATAGACCGGGGTCTGGGAGTGTCGTACGAAAATCGAAATCGAGATCTCACTAAATTCTTCGTACGAGAATCGAGATCTCGAAAAATTCCCAATCGCGATAACTGAGATTTTCGATTCGAGATCTCGTCTCGGTTCGGTCTCTAGTTGTTATCCGTTTAATTATCCAAAATCGACTGGCGGCTTTAATTATTTTATCAATTATACCGGAAGGGAATTTTACGGCCTTACACACTAATTAAAGATTATTAAACTTTTATTAGTTTATTATTAATTTATTAGTTGGACGATTCAGTTACTGTCACCTTTTTTGGTGCAATAATAGCAATGTATTCTCTTTCACAAATTGTTGCCTCTCCACTACTTGGATTTTGGTCTACTCGAATTGAAAAGCTTAAACCGCCCTTGTATTTTTAATTAAATAATTTGTAAAAATTTTTTTAATTTTAGAATGATATGCAATTTTTTAATGTTTTTAGGCAATTTTCTGTATTGTTTAGTTGAATTATTCCCCTTGAGTATGTCAAGATACGTGATGCTTGCTTCTAGATTTACGGCTGGTATTGGATGGGGTAATAAAATATATTTTAATTTTTTTAAGGGTTGGACAAGTGATATTTTGGTGTCATTGCTGTAGTTATTCATTCCCTATAGGGTTGAGCGGGATCGGAATCCCGGTCGGGATCGTGCGGGATTATCCCGTTTTAAATCCCTATCCCGATTCTTCTGATCCCGAATCCGGGGATTGACGTCGTTATTCCAAAATCCCGATCCTGATTTTATGTAGGTCAGGATCCCGATCCCGCTCAACTCTAATCCCCTATATACATATTCTCTTTGTTTCAAACTTGAAAAATTCAAAAAGAATATTTTTAAGCACAAGTTGGCCTATTGAAATCATTTGCCTCATCAGCATCCATAAATAAAGACAGATCAAGAGCTACAGCTTTTATAACTGGCGGAATGGCTTTAGGCTCTACAATTGGACCTGGTAGAGGGAAACAAAAAATAGTTTTAAGTTTTGAATTTTCAGCATTCCAAATACTTTTTACTTGGATTGGATATCCGGGATACCCTATTTGTTTAGATATTTTTGGTTTGCCTAAATATTGTTTGAATATTTCTATGTTTACTGCACCAGCTTTGGCTGCATCTATTGTTAATATTTTTCTTTTATTTTTGCAGGTTGGAATAATTAAAAAATACTTTTTAAATTAAAAACACAAAAATATTTCGTGTATGATAAAAATCTTTTTAATTTTTGAATTATCTTCGGGGTTTGAACCTAGAAGACAAATAACGTTGTAAAATAATTTCTGATTTCTTAATACAGTCAGACCTCATTAGGTATAATATCAGATATACAATATCAGATATACTTTATTTAAGATAACCGGGTTTTAAAATCTGTATGAAGACTACCCACCCTTAATTTAAAATATCCCCTCATAATAATTTAAAATTAATTATTCAACATCAATTGTGTTTTAACGAGTGCAAATGATCATTATTTAAATATATTCGAAAAGTATTATAATTCCTAAATTTGGAATACGAACCGCTAGTAGAACCAAAAATCTTCAGGTTTTCGAGTCGTCTTGAAACCGAAAACCTCTAATTATAAGACTGCTTTTTTATAATTTTTGTCCAAAATCTTCAAAAAATTTTTTCTTAAATTTTATTTTTAATATTTAATTTAAATTAAAAAATTTTTTTCTTTAAAGATTTTTTGGTTTAAAGAAAGTTATGTTGGAATATTAAAACGCAAAGCGGATAAGGAAAATTTGAATCCCCCAAAATTACCTCCATACGATCGTTTGGCTGTAGCAGCTTGTTATGCCATTAGATTTACTCAATTCTTTATTTTTACAAATATTGAAACGTTTGACAAAAAAATTTTTTAATTTTATACGAAAATCATTTAAAGTATTGGGACAGAATTTGCAATGATGATGTTTATGTGGTCCCCTACAGATGTTGTTTTTTGGGAAGCTATAGCTCACTCAATTCGTGGCCTTTTGGCTTTAAGCACTTATATCTGTTATATTGTTTTTAATTTGGGTGAAAAGTTTGTTTTTTTGAGAGAAAAAATATTTTGTAAATTTGGTAGTTTTGGGGCTTTTTAGTTCTCTAAAATTATGTTAAAATATTTTTTAAGCCTTTTTAGTTGAAGTTATCGAAGAATTAAATTAAAACCTCCCTGTACATAGTAAAATTATGTTCCAAACTATTTAGCCAAAAGGCCGAAATTTTTTGATTAAGGAAAATAATACTTAAAGATACTGTCGGCTTGCAAATAAGATAGGCATAATAGTAGATATCCACCATTTGGGATATATTTTTTAAATTTAGTTGGCCATTAAATGGGGGTAATCCAGGCGAAAAGCGCTCTATTTAAGATACACTTCATCATAAGATAAAGCTTTTCAGCCCTGACATGAGAGTGTATCTTATAGTGGCTATCCGACATTTGGGGATCAGACTTTTGGGGACCCGACAGTTGGGGACGACTTTTGGGGATACGACTTTTGGGGAACCGACTTTTGGGGACCCGACACTTAGGGACTCGACTTTTAGGGACCCGACACTTAGGGACCCGACAATTGGAGACCCGACATTTGGGGACGAAATAAAATTTTTAAAAAATTTGAAAATCTACCTAAAGCGGGTCTTTAATTCATAGTCGGACATGGACAAAACATGGTCATTGACTCAGCTCGATGTCTGAGTCGAATGAGGGTGAAAACCAAGTGCGGGAGTCGAATGTCGAGGAAGTCAAGCATGGGAGTTAACGATCAAGCACGGGCTGTTGACCCCCGCGCTTGATCGTTAACTCCCGCGCTTGGATTTCACCCTCATTCGACTCAAACATCGAGCTGAGTCAATGACCATGTGTTGTTCATATCCGACCATGCATTATGAACTTGCTTTAGGAAGATTTTCAAATTTTTTTAAAATTTTATTTCGTCCCCAAATGTCGGGTCCCCAATTGTCGGGTCCCTAAGTGTCGGGTCCCTAAAAGTCGGGTCCCTAAGTGTCGGGTCCCCAAAAGTCGGGTCCCTAAAAGTCGGGTCCCCAAAAGTCGTCCCCAACTGTCGGGTCCCCAAAAGTCCGATCCCCAAATGTCACGCCACGCTTATAGTAAAGTCCAATTTAATATTTTAGTTTAAATTATTTTTTAATTTTTACAAAAAAAATCTTTTTAAAATTCAGAGTAAATGATCGTGTAGTCTGCTTATTTTCACTTATTGGACTCCTCCTTTTTCACGTTTTTACTTATTCATGGCCTTTTCTATCCGAAATCGTCCAACTTTTTGATGACCAAAAATGTTTGATTTTTTCGAAAATTAAGCAAAAAAATTTTTAAAGTTCACAGAAACGCTTCAACAGCATTAGGGTGTGATTGGCGTTCAATGAATTGGTGTTTAGATTTAAAACAAATAAATATATGGGTCTATTATTTCTCTATAATTATCTTTATTGGACTAAGTTTTCCAAATATTAATGTTACAATGAATACTTTATTCTCTCGAATTATTGGTCCGAGAATGCAAGGAACACAACAAGGAATACTTGAAATGTTTGGAGGAATGGGGAGAATGACTGGGCCCCTCGTTATTGGGTTGGTTATATGTTTTGATTGAGATATCTTCAAGGAGATTACTGAACGATATCTATAGTTAGCATCTTCCTGGTTTAAGGAATTGGGTTCTGATAATGCGCTTACGAAACCGGACTCGGATTTCGGAAACGCGGAGCCATCAAAAACCGTCAAGAAACCTTTCGAATTTTGAAGCGGAGACAGCCTATAACTAAGAACTTTTACATACTATTATACCTATATTCATTGTATACCTGTACAAATTCATTGTACTTATATCTAATATTTTTAAAGTTATCTTTATCGAACATACGGGCCAAGAACAATTTGGATAATGGAATCCATTGAAGTTGGTATAATGATTCTCTTTTGGCTTTTATGTTATCGAAGACTTGTCCCATTAAATATACCAACAGAAATGGATGAAAATGGAAAGGAAAATGGAAAAATATAAAAGAAATTCTAGTAAATAAATTTTTGTTTAAAAAATTATTGAGAAAATGTTTGTTTATTTGATAGACAATTAAAAATATTAAAAATAGGATGCTTAAAAATATAGTGAATGGATATAGGTGAGTAAATACATATTAGTGTATCGGTAGGCCTGACTACCTATTTTGTTACAACTATGAATTATAAATTTATCGTTTTTTCTCCTCACATTTTTTCATTATTGTCTGAATTGTCTTTATTTACTTATTCGATTCCTTTTCTTTTAAATTTTTATTTGTTTTCTTTTTATAATGTTGTTTCTTGTAACAGGAAGTACATAAATGGTTTCCAGATTCTGAATCACGGTAGTTAACAAATTTTGCAGATCCACAAATATAACATTGACGTTTTTGTTTGATTGGAATTTGCTAAAAAAAGTATATTTGAATTTAAAATTCAATTTCATAATTATAATATTTTAAATAATTTTTTGGATAACCTTTTTAGTTTTAACCCATAATTCTTTTGGTCTAAACTTTCCATTATTCTGATGCCCATAGACGAAACATGCTTTGCACAGATTTTGTTCATTTAGGTATTTATACCATTGTATCGTTTGCTTAACTCCACAATTAAAACAATACCGTCCTTCTCCTTCAATAATTTCATCTAGAATAATTAAATACTTATTTTGGAAATACAATACTTACAAAGCGACCCGTATTTACAAATGGAATTTCTTCGTTAAAAAATTAAATTTAACCTTAAAATATTTAAATTTTTTGCGCCTGCGACGCAAAAAGCCTGTGGCAGACCTTTATCAGCTTGTTCTTTACAAAATTAGATCCTTCTGTGTATCTTTTTTATCTAAGTTTTTGTTTACTTTAATGGAGATTATCTCAGAGTGATTCACGATATTACATATCTTACTCGAAATATAAAAATTTTACTTATTTTATTGCCAATATAAACAATTCTTTTGTCTTTTTTCGAATATTCAACTTTTTGTTTATTTAATAATTCAATTTTATATGCAATTAAATTAATTTCTGACCAATAACTTGATGAAAGTTTGTTTTCATAATTTTCCTTTATTGAGTTTAAATCTTTGAAATTTTTTATATTTTCTAAATTCTCATCTAATATAGATGTTTCATAACATTTATTATCCGTTTTATTGAAAGTATTATTTTGGAGTATCTAAAAATATAATTATAAACTAATTTCTGACCAAGTGTGTAACATAATTATAATATAAAGGAGGTAAAAATAATTTAACTAAATACGGAAGAAAAAAATCCACAAAAATTTTTGTGAACTTATCTATCAATATAGATAAGAAAGACAAAAGAAACGAAGTTTTAATATACTTCCATAATCGAGATCTTGAAGACAGAAAATCAACGGAAAACCGGGAGTGACGTCTTTAAAAAATATTTTCGTCCCCTTACAGGTCAGATAAAAATTTTATTATTGGCTTATTTGAAAGCCCTTGAAATTTGCTACAAGATAGCATTAATTTTATTTTCCGAAAAAAAATTTAACTGTAAGACCTAATGTGATAAACTTTCAGGTCATAGAAATCACTCAAACGCCCCCCAAATGGCGATAAAATTTAACTTATAAACTAAACTATCTTGTAGCAAATTTCGAGGGCTTTCAAATAAGCCAACAATAAAATTTTTATTTTATCTGTAAGGGGTCGAAAATATTTTTTAAATACGTCACTCAAGATCTCGATGCTGTAAGTACATATATTAGAACTTCGTTTCTTTTGTATTTCTTATTTATATTGATAGATAAGTTCACAAAAATTTTTGTGGATTTTTTCTTCCGTATTTAGTTAAATTATTTTTACTTCCTTTATAATTATGTTACACCAAAATTTTTGAAAAAAAAACTCATAAAAAATTTAAATTTTGATCTTTTTTTGAATTTTATGCCAAAATAATGTTTTTTATCACATAGATAAAATTCAGACCAATTCATCCAGAAAAACTCCCCTGTATATACAAATTTTTTGCGGATATTGGGGACTCGAGCTGGACATCTACCGGTCATACATATCCTTATTGCAAAAATTTTTTTATAAAATACCCGTTTTTCAAATTCAGGCAAAAGATTTTGAATAATCTGATTATTGGCAATCTCAATGACAATTTTATTTTCTAATTGAACAGATCGGCTATATTTCGAACTTGTACTTGTTGAAGTCTCAAAAGTATTTTTATCAGAGTCGAAGTTGATCGGACACAAAAAATCCTTTATATTATTTTTTAAACCATCATATTTATTATTATTTTTCACTATTTTTTTCAATACAAAACGCTCCTTTTGTTTAGCATTTTTTAAATAAATAAATTCTCTTTTCCCCTTCCAATCATCTTTAATTTTAACTCCAACAGGAACAATCCTTCCGGAACATTGAATATTTAATAATATAATTAAATGTAAAGGAAGAAGAATAATGAATTTACTAAACATCTGAAAATTAAATATACAATCGCCCCTCACATGTAGAAAAAGACAAATGTTGTATACCTCAATTAAAGATAAGTTTATTGGTTAGGGCCAGGGACGGGCTTGCGTTTTTGCCAATTGTTTTTTGCGCCCAACTATTTGATGTCTATCTAACATAATCGTTACCCCCCCCCCCCCCAATTTAAGGTTAAATCACTTTAAAGTACAATTTTTCGCCCTCGAGAGTAGATTCAAGGAAATCCGTTTGCGTTAACTTAATTTGCACCTCGATGTTTACCCTAATCAGAACAAATAAGAAACATTACATCAACTACCCGTTCAGGTTAAAAAATATTTTTAGAATAAATTTAAATATTAAAAGGTTCGTTTTGAAAAACCCTGTGTTAAAAGAAATTTTCTTTCTAAATAATTAACCTTTTCTTTCTGGTTTTAGCGTGTTTAACTAAAAGTTTTAACCAATTATTTATTCCTGAAGGGGAATGTTTTGCGTTTTTAACTAATTTATAAAATAATTTTTTAAAGTTTTAAAATTTTAAATAAATCTAAGGACATTTAATAAATTTTATTGACTAATCATATTCGCGGCAAGCAATTTTAAAAATACACCTATTCATAAGATTAGGTTCGAAATTTCGATTTTCGAGATTTTTCTTTCGATCTTTAATTTGAACTTTTTAAGTGATTTTCTATTTTCTACTTTAAACTTTTCCAAAAATTTGATTTTTGTCGGTAAAAAGGAGTGAATTTTGGATTTTTGGCCATTGAAAATTAGATAAATTTGAGCATAAGGCGCAAAAAAGGAATTAGAAGAAGTATGTTTTCTATTTTCTCAGTTTTTGCCAATTTCAAGTATCTAACTCTTTTTTATAAGTAATCAGACTTGATACATCCAGGTGCGAAAAAATAGCGCTTATCGAGAGCTTTCGAATTTATAAAATAAATGTATGTATCTTTACTTTTTGATGTAAAATTCTGAAAATTAAAGTTATTTTCATCGAACATACGGGCCAAAAACAATTTAGATAATGGAATCCATTGAAGTTGGTATAATGATTCTCTTTTGGCTTTTATGTTATCGAAGACTTATTCCATTAAATATACCAACAGAAATGGATGAAAATGGAAAAGAAAATGGAAAAATATGAAAGAAATTTTAGTTAATAAATTTTTGTAAAATTATTAAGAGAATTTTTGTTTATTTGATAGATGATTAAAAATATTAAAAATAGGATGCCTAAAAATAGTGAACAGATGAAGGTGGGCTATTTTTGTTTACAAGTAGGGAAACTGTTTTATAAAAAAGTAAATGATAACAGTCGTGTCGGACCTCGATTTTACACGCGGACACCTTTGGAGCTGAATATATTGTATATAAAGAGAGATGGTCGTGTCAGGTAGTTTCGTCAGAGCTACAATCCGTTAAAAATTGTTGAATCCGAAGGCCCTGGTCTAGTATGATTCAGCTCATCGAGCTGCATCGAACCATACCAGCGCGTCCAGGATTCAACAAGTTTGAACGAAGTTATAACTCGGCGGTATACGCGGCCTTCTCCCTTTCGTCAGAGGAGATTAGTTAGTTTGTATATCTATTATTGAGTTATGTAAAAGGGAGGTCCGTCAATTAAAACTTTATGTTTCTTTAGAACTTTTTCTCATCATTGTCTGAATTCTCCTTTCGATTTCCTTTAAGCAATTTTTATTTGTTTTCTTCTTTGTTTATCGTAACACAATTGACACAAATGGTTTCCAGCTTCCGAATGACGGTAGTTAACTTTTATTTTGGATTTACAAATATAACATTGGCGATTTTGTTTGATTGGAATTTGCTAAAAAAATCGCTTGAATGATTTATTTTTTAGAAACATTAAAATATATATTTAATTTTTAAAATTCAATTTTAGAATTATTTTAAAATAATTTTTTGGATAACCTTTTTAGTTTTAACCCATAATTCTTTTGGTCTAAACTTTCCATACACACGTCTACTATAGTCAAAACATAATTTGCACAGATTTTGTTCTTTTAGGTAGTTATACCATTGCATCGTTTGCTTAACTCCACAATTAAAACAAAATCGTTTTCCCTCAATAATTTCATCTATAATAATTAAGTATTTATTTTGAAAGATTCTTAAAGTCATGTATCATGCAAAAAAGCTCAAAATGGTCAGGGAAACGGTCAAAAAAAATTTTTAAAATTTTGAAAAATTCTTTAAATCTTAAAATTCTTAAAATTTTGGCCTACGGCTCAAAATAATTTTTATATTATACTTATAATTAGAAAATATTCACACTATGTGCCTATAAATTAAACTTTTTGTGCTTATTATTTTCTCAATGGCAGCCCTGTATTATGTAGTTGGATCCCCGATATTACAAATCACACTCAAAATAAAAACAAAAATAAAATTTTACTTATTGTATTGCCAATATAAACAATTCTTCTGTTTTCTTCTTTCGAATATTCAACTTTTTGTTTTTTTAATAATTCAATTTTATATGCAATTAAATTAATTTCTGACCAATAACTTGATAAAAGTTTGTTTTCATAATTTTCATTTATTGAGTTCAAATCTTTGAAATTTTTTATATTTTCTAAATTCTCATCCAATATACAAGTTTCATAATATTTATTATCCGT